CCCCCTGCCCGAGACCGGTCTCTAATCTACCCAGCGACAGGCTCTGATTGGCGGGGAGCGCCGGAGCGATTTTTTGATTGGCCGAAGCCAGAGGGAGCGCGGGGCCCGCCCGACCCATTGACAAAGTGCGGGCGGGGCCGGGGCCGGGGCCGGGCCGGGGGGGCGGCGGCGGGGAGAGCGGTGCGTCCTCCCGGGCCCGGCACTGGCCAGGGCACAGGGACCCTCCCTGCGCAAGGGTCACGGTGGGACGCAGCGGGGTTTGTGTTCCAAGGCTCGGGGAGCGGCCCTGCCCGCAGCTCGGGGCTGATGAACCCACACAAAGCTCGGGTGTCCTGGCGCTCATCCCCCTCTGCAGGGCCACCCCAAATCGGCTGTGGGCTCAGGAGTGGGACAGCACCCCCAAACAGCCAGAGCCAGGCGCACTCCCCACATCCAGGCTCCAGGGAATGGCTTCCCAGAGGAGGAAAGGCCATGGAGCAATAATTCGATTCCAGCTGCAGGGACAGGTGTTGGATCCAGCAGGGCCTCGGGCAGCCCCTGGTGATCCCATTTGTTCCCTTTAAAGGGGAGACACTCGGGAGTTCCAGGAGGAGGCGCTGGGCTATGCTGAAACCGAGGTTATCCAAGGACTGATTTTCCAGACCTTGCTTCCCTCCCTGAATCCATCTGGCAATGGCAAGAGAGGGGAAAACCAAGGTATTCTTCCTTCTGGAAAAAGCAGAGGCTGGAGGTGGGGGGGAGATTTGGCTTTGCCAACTGATGAAACACATTTCCTCATTTCCAGCGTTATGTTGGGGAAAATTTCCCTATTTCCCAGGATAATTCCTGTCCCACCTCTATCCAGCTCTTCCACACCAGCCAATGCTGCTTGTGCAGGGTGATATCATAATTTATCCTGAAATTGTAATTTAAAATTGTCATTTATCCTGGCATTTGATTTCCAGGCCTCTGCCCTTCCCAGCACAGCCCAGAGCCACCAGGATTGAAGCAGAGCTGGCTTTCCCCACAACCATGATTTTATAGGAAAATACTCTTTTAATCTTAATTTATTCCCTTATCAGACACATCTTTGATTCCCTGTTTGAGGACACTGAGATTTTTTTTGCTGGAGAACAAAAATCTAAGTGGGATAAGCAGGAATTTTCTGGTGAAAAATAGAATTAGCTATCAAAACTCAGTGGTACCTGCAGGATTTTAGTGGTGAGGGGCTGTCCCAGCCCGTTATCCCTGTTTCTGCTTGGTGGGCTCTGATCTATCAGTTTTTATGGATTTTTTTTCCAAGCCCTACCAGAAGGAAACACAAATCCCAAGGCTGATTGTAGATTTCTTTGCAGGGAAGGAAATGAAGCTCCAGGGACTCTTTTACAGATAAAAAACACTGGAGAAGGAGAGAGGAATGCACTGAACCGACTGAAAACTCTCATTTTTTAAAAAGAAGTGTGGAATGACACCTGGATTTCCCCATGGACAGCACCACGAGAGGGAGACTCGCTGCTGCAGCAGAGCTGGCAGTGCCCTTGGCACAGCTGCTGACCCAATCCACCCCCACTTTTAGCTCCAAATCCTTGCCCTCCCACCTTTCCCCCCTGCTGAGGAGCACATTTAGAGTAACAAAATGATTTATTTCACTCCCTCCTCAGGCAAAGCTCAGCTCTGTCCAGAAACAGAAAAAAACCTCTGGAGCTGGCAGGAGCAGCAGGTTCAGGTGCTGTGGGGAGGGAAGTCCCAGGAGCTGGGTGAACTGGACCAGTTCCTTTGGTTGGGGAAGGGGTTTGAGCTTTTGGGGGGGTCTCTCCCTCTTTTTTCAAATATCCTTGATGACCTCCTCAAGCTCCTCTTTTGTGTACATGTGGAATTTCATCCCAGGCTCCACCGTGGCAAGCTGGAAGAGAAGGAACAAGGGGTTAAGTGTGGTTGAGGAAAGCAGGGAGCAGCTGTTCCTTCTTCTGATCTGCCAGACCAGCAGGATCATTCCAGCCTGGAACACGCTCCAGGATTCCCTAAAATAGCTGCCTGCTGCACAAATAGCTTTGAATTGACTCAGTCTCCTCAGAGGAGCAGCAGCAGGGAATTTTAGTGGGAACAGGCAGGTGCTGCTCCCACTTGATGGGGGAAAAGCCATCAAAACCTCCCAGGAGAGAATTCCTGCCTCTCCAAAGGATTCTTCTCCCCTAGGAACCAAGTGGACAAATCCTGGCCTGTCTGGGAGCTGAGGGGACTCAGGGTTGGCTCAGGGAAACTGAGGCACAGATCTCTAAGGAAAACAGGGACAACACATTGTCAGGGCAGAGAGCCAAAACATTCCAGAGGCAGCACCAAGGATGAGGGAAACTTGAATGACAAGCCTGGAAGAGAAACGTGAGCAGAAATATTCACACCTGGCTCAGTGATGGGCGCCCAAACCAGGGACAGCTGTGTCAGTGGAAATGCCAAACCTCCAGAGAGAGTTGGAATACCCTGGAATGAGCTGGGGTATCCTGTAACAGGCTGGGATGGAGCAGGAGAGGGCTGGGACGGGGCAGGAGAGGGCTGGGATGGAGCAGGAGAGGGCTGGGACGGGGAAGGAGAGGGCTGGGACGGGGAAGGAGAGGGCTGGGACGGGGAAGGAGAGGGCTGGGACGGGGCAGGAGAGGGCTGGGATGGAGCAGGAGAGGGCTGGGACGGGGAAGGAGAGGGCTGGGACGGGGAAGGAGAGGGCTGGGACGGGGAAGGAGAGGGCTGGGACGGGGAAGGAGAGGGCTGGGATGGAGCAGGAGAGGGCTGGGACGGGGAAGGAGAGAGCTGGGATGCTTCTGAACTCAGGCACTGGATGGATTCTCCAAGGATCAATATGTTTGGATGCAACCAAAAAGCTGCAGGAATGCTCTGGAGCATCCCAGCAGATCCCAGAGCTCTTCTGAGGTGACTTCTCACAAACCCCCTTCACCATCCCAAGGGGAAGGACCTGATCCAGGGGCAGGATTTTCCAAGTGGAAACATCCAAGGCTCAGCCTGAGAGCTCCTGGCAGCCCAGGTTTCACCCAGAACTCTCAGACAAGACGGAGATGCCACTTGAGGCCCCTCAAATCATGGAGTGGTTTGGGTTGGAAGGGACCTTAAGCTCACCCAGTCCCACCCCCTGCCATGGGCAGGGACACCTCCCACTGTCCCAGGCTGCTCCAAGCCCCATCCAACCTGGCCTTGGGCACTCCCAGGGATGGAGCAGCCACAGCTGCTCTGGGCAGGGACCACCTGTGCAGGGACTGGACTGATCCTGGGCCCAGCCAAACTCAACAAGACCCAAATTTATGCACCAAAACCAGCTCTAAATACCAAAAAAACCTTTATACACACCCAAATCAGCAGAGACACCAATTCCTTTGCTTTTCCACTCTGCTCCTCACATTCTCCCTACCAAAGCTTCACAGGGAAATCTAATTAATCTAAAATCATGGAGTTCTTTCAGGCTATCAATCTTTCAGGCTGATCTTCACTATCAATGGATTTAACTCTCCCACAACCACACTTCCCCTCTTCTCTTTGTTCCTAGATGGAAAATGCCACAGCAGAGTGGCTGGAGCCAAGAAATGGGAGAGGCACATACTTCTAGGAAGCAAAGAGCTCTTCAGGTGGCAGATTTTCAGCCAGGGGGTGACTTGAGTCAATAGAAACCTTTTAATCCTCAGCACATTCCTGCTCTCCTTCCCCCCAGCACGATTCCACCCCACTCCAGGGCCGTGCCAAGCACAGTTAAGCCCTGTTAAACAGGGACATGACATCAGGATACTGTACACATTCCTCTGCCTGCACTGTACCAGGAAAAAACGCATGGCTAAGGGTTGGAAGAGCACCTGGGAAGGAGATTCCAACCACACAGCATGATTTTGGGACAGAGTGTTCAAGTTTTCATGTGCTGTTGGCCTTCTCCTCCAAAGGAGGTTGGTTAATCCCACCAGGAATGGTCCCCCACAGCAACATTTAACACAGAAATGAGGTGAATACCTTGGGGCTGTTTGGGGAAAGGTTTCTCAGCACTCAGAGGGAAGGAATGGGAGAAGAGAGCAGTTCAGGAGCTGGAATGCCACACTTTGGAAAGGTCTGGTGTCTCATAACCCACCCGAAATAGAAACAAACTCTATACACCAACCCAACTTCTCATCCCCCAGTTACCCCACCCAGTGCAGAGGGTTTGTATTTTCCCACCCAAAAATGAGCCCATGGAACAGGTTTGGGGGGCCAAGCATCCCCAGGTCCGGGGGTACATCCTGCCCCAGGGTTCCAGGGGCACAGCCATTCCTTGCTGCTCCCACTGTCCAAGGGATTTTTGGCACTGCCCCAGGACTAATATAGCAGCCCAGGAGCTGGGTAATTTTCAATCCCTCTAATATTACAAGCAGCAAGGCAAAAAAGAATGGCTGGATCCAGGGGAAGAACAAGCGGTCTGGGTGGTTTGTTGGCTTCTGCTGACTGGAGAAGGTCAGAGAATCCCTTCTGCTCATACAGGTTAGCCATGGAAACAGAGCAGACTCTGTACCTGTGCAAGGGAAAAGCTTCAACTTTTCCAAAGTGCCGCACAGGATATGATGAAAAGGGCAGGAACATCTGCAGCAGGAAGCCCTGAGCTGCTCCATTCCTTGCTCCAGGGGCAATCCTGACTCCAGGAGGACTCACCTCGATGTTGGTGGCATTTAGTTTCTCCTCCATGACCTGTTTCAGGATGACCAGGGAAGATTTGATGGCTTCCTTTAGCGTCATGGACTGGAAAACAAATGGATTACTTGCTGGAGGCTCAGGATGTGGCCCCTCTCCCTCCCCTTTCCCAAATCCCTTGAGCCAGGCAGCCAAAGGAGCAGCTTTGGGATCTGCAGCATCCCTGGGAGACTGGAGCAGGCAGGGCAGGGACAGTGAAATCCTGCCTTTCTGAGATTTAAAAATGGTTAATTTGGGCACATCAATCTGATGGGATTGGGACAGGAGGGGCTGTTTCACATCAAAAATCCAGATTCCCTCTAGGCAGAAGCCTCTGTGCTGCATTTAATCCGATAAATCCCTAGAGCCAGAGGGATGTGCAGCACAGCTGTGTTTCACTAACTGCACTTGAGAAAGGGCTGACAATCTGGAGAGTCCAGAATTTGGGTAATCTGGAGCATTCTGGTGAACAAATGAGTCCTCCCAGCCACCATCACTAATTCTGCTTTTCATTAGGGTTTGGTTTCTTACCACCCAAACCAGACAACTCCCTCTTCATGGGGGAAAAAAAAAATCCTATTTAATATCAAACGTGAGCAGAATTTCCAGCACAAAAGCTGCTCCCTTCCCTGGTGAGGTGAAGGTGCTGGTGTGAGCTCAGGATGCTTCCAGCTGTATCCACACAGAGCCTGATGCCCACAGCAGCACTGAGAGCTCAGTTTTTATCTAAAGAGAATTCCTGACATGGCCTTAACTGTCTGAGAAGCAGAGAGCAGCTGCTGGGAGCAGCTCTGCTTGTGGAGATCCTCAGCACCTACTCACAGGATGCACTGCTAAGGAGTGATCCTGCCCTGGGTGGCTCAGGGACCTCCTCTCCAGCCCTAAATCCTCACTGGGGAGGGAATTAGGGGATCCTGGTAGGTGGTAAAGTACCCCAGACCCACGAGATGTGACCCCCAACCCCAAATCCAGCCCTTACCTTGTGGTAAACCTCTTGCAGGGAGCTCTGGGCTCCCTCTGAGGCGGAGCCGATGGCTCTGGCATCACACTGCACGAACGTTCCCGAGGGATCCATGTGGAACCTGTGGGGACAGGGGGTGACTACCTGCACCCCATCTCACCCTGGGGTACCCCAAGGACCCTCTCACCAGACCCCCAGAGCTCCCTGCACAGCTGGAGCTGGGATTTATCCCCAAGAGCTCCTGGGCTGGCAGCTTTGCACACTCTGACACTGCTCTCCTTCCTCAGAGAATCATTTTCCTTTGGATTTCCCATCTTAATTTTTTTTTTAAATAAATTCATCAAGTTTTCCCTGCTGGAAGGCAGACCTGACTGATCTGGCTCTGCCAAGCCTATCCCACTTCCAGTGGGGCCATTTGGAGCCCTGAGTTCAGGTTACAGCTGCTCCAACACCTCCCCATGGAATGTCACATGGATTATGTTACTGGTGGCTCTGCTGGTCCTTTAGGGAAAGGTAAGAATACACTCAAGACGAGGAGAGCTTTAACGCTTCCCTCCTCCCCAGGAAACCACATTTTTAATAAAAAAAGCAAATTTTTGGGGAAGATATGATGTTTTTTTCCATGCCAAACAGGCAGGCAGGGGCTCTGGAAAGGGTTTAACAGGATTAACAAACGTATCAGGGATATAATGGGATAAACCCCAAGGGTTTGGCTTAAGGAAAATCCCAGAAACGAGTCGTTAAAACAGCCTGGGAATTTTGCAGTGGCAGTTTGGTCTTTTCCCTGGATTAAGAGAGCAGAACTCACAGCTGGGGTCCCTTCTCATCCACTCCTCCGAAGAGCAGAGCGACGCCGAACGGGCGGGACTGCGGGAGAAAGGAGGAAAGGCTCAGACAAGGGCAAGGAAAGGGGGGGTTCCCCAGCACCCCCTGATCCCCCTTGGATCCCACCATGGCTCCTGGATCAGCATCTTCCTCCCCAAATTGCAGGGCCAGGTTAGACACAGCCTGTGTCACACTCTCCACCGTCATCGTCTCGTTGTAGGTGAACCAGTGATTCTGCAGGAAAAGCCAAAGAAAGATTCCCATTATCCTCATGTTCCCAAACTTTGATGCTCCTGCATGGCTGAGGTGCAGTGAGACCCTGTGTGGACACAAGGATAACCTCCCTAGGGAACCCAGGGCACAGCCAGTTCTCCCATGGGAGCATCAGGGAGAGTGGGATGTACAAAAACCCACAAGAAATGGGATGGAAAAGGCTTGGGATGCCAGTCAGGAAATGCAAGGCTGAAGGGCTTTATCCCAATATCTGGTTTGGAAGTAATGTGTTACCCAGCTCTCCAGAGGGTGGAAAAGTGCTGATATGCAGGAGAAAACCCCAGGAAAACCCTTTGCAGCAGCACAGATTTGTACCTGGGACCTCCAAGCACCTGAGGCATCCAGGAAATTTAAGGGGTTAAAAAGAAAACCAATACATCCAGTATTTTGCCAAAGCAGTCAGATAACCCCTACACTCCCAACGAGCCTCCAGCTTCCCACCAGCTCCTTTGATGGAATGATCTTCCCTTTTCCAAGGAGTTCCTGGGATTTGTGCTGCTGATTTAAAGACAAAGATGACAGATCTTACCTGAGTCTCCACTCTGGCCTTGTCAATTAAAGTCTTTGCATCTGCTATTAATCCACTCATGGCACACCCTGGAATGGGAAAGGGGAAACACGAGTCATTCCACCCATTATTTGGGATGTGTTTTCCCCCAGACTGCCCAAAGCTCACATAAATCACAAAGGGCTGCAGGGAGAAGCTGGTTCCTGAGTGGGAAGGTGGGGAAGAGAATTGTCTCGCTGTGCTGGGCACTGCTGAGGCCACACCTGGAATCCCAGGAATAGCTTTGGGTTTCTATCAAGAAGGACATTGAGGGGCTGGAACGTGTCCAGAGAATGGAATGGAGCTGGGGAAGGGTCTGGAGCCCCAGGAGCAGCTGAGGGAGCTGGAAAGGGGCTCAGCCTGGAGAAAAGGAGGCTCAGGGGGCCCTTCTGGCTCTGCACAAGTCCCTGCCAGGAGAAGGGGGGGAGTTGGGCTGTGCTGCCCGGGAACAGGGACAGGAGGAGAGTAAATGGCATCCAGCTGTGCCAGGGGAGGTTCAGGTCAGGTATTAGGTAAATTTTTTCATGGAAAATGTGGTCAGGCCCTGGCACAGGCTGCCCCTGTGAACAGTGGTGGAGCCTCCACCCCAGGAAGGGTTCAAAAAGCGTGGATGTGGCACTTTAGGACACAGATTAGCAGTGGCCTTGGTATGGCTGGACTCGATGATCTTAGAGGGCTTTTCCAACTCAGGAATTCCATGGGATTGAAACAGATTTGCTCCAGAACAATCTGCTGGGAAGGAGCCCTGGCTGCCCCACAGCCAGCAGATGCAGCAGGAGCCCCCAGCACAGATTCTGCTCTGGGAAGAGGGAGTTGCATCACAAGCTCCTGGGAGGAGGAAATTGGACTCCTGGAGCTCTTCCCATGCCCCTGGAGCAGCAACACAGGAATTTTAGAGTTTTTTTTGCTTTTCAGGGTGACATACTTGGCCATGAGCCCATTGTGGGCCACATTGTGAGCATGGGTGGCTCCAGGGTGGCATCAGTGATCCTGGAGAAACTGGTCCCAGTCAAGCCCACCATAATTCCCTGCCCTCCCAGAGCTAAATTTGGGATGAGCTTTCATGAGGGAGATCACTGAGGCAGGGGCAGTGCCTCAGCTGCCTCTTTGTGCTTCCTGGAGCTGCATTCTGCTGGCTTGGAGCCTGGAAAACCAGTGACCAGGAGCTGGTGTGCACTGGGAGGGAAGAGTGCTCCTGCTCCAGGCAGAACTGCCTGCAGGGAGGGCTCATCCCAAAACACAACTTCCCAAATGACTCTCATCATAAATAATTCACAGTTTTAGGGTGCTCCCAGATCTGATCCAGAGGGACCCCCAGGGCTGAATCCCTCCTCCATACCAATGTGGGAGTCGATCTCCACAATCTTCTCAATGCTGCTGGGCTCCATGAGGGGAGATGTGATCCTCTTTTCCACAGCCAGGCAAACTCCCTCTGAGGTCTGGATCCCGATGGCTGTGGAGCCAAGCTGCAAAACACCAACACAGGCTCCAGCTCTCACAAATATCAATGCCAATTCTGACTTATTTGCAGGTGTGTTGGTTTGGATTCAACTGCATCATCCACACACAAACCCTGGGTTTGCACGGTGGATTTTAAAAGTAATTTCATTTTCCCTGAAGTAGGAAATGGGGAAGATAAAATTCACGTGATTCCCATGAGAACCCAGTGGGACTGCTGCACATCCTTCATCTTTCAAGCAACAGAAGTTTGTGGAGCCTGGTGAATGTAAAAGGCCCTGGGAATTCCCTGCCAGAGGGAAAAAAGAATTTAAAGGATGAGAGAATTTCCCACATCAGCACAAATCCCACTGCAGCTCTGGCTTGGGCACTTGGCTTTCCATAAGTTCCTGTTGTCTCCAGAGTCCCAGGCAGCAAGCTCCAGCCCAGGACTGCAGGACACCTCAGTGTCACCAGGGCCACAAGCACAGGGACAGATCTCAGGGGCTTCTGGCAGCCCTTGTCTGGATCCTGTCTTCATCCCACTGGGATCCCACCTTGATCCCATCAGGTCCTGCTTGGATCCCACCTCAACTGCACCTTGATTCTACCTGGATCCCACAAATCCATGCCATGATCCCAACAGCCCCTACTTTGATCCTACCAATGCTTTTCTGGATCTTACCAGCCTCTAACCTCCATCCCACCAGCCCCCACATTGGTCTTACCTTAACCCCACCAACTCCTAGACTCAATTCCAGCCTTGATCCCACCAACAATTACCTTCATCCCACTTTGATCCCACTGGGATCCCACCTGGATCCCACCAGCCCTGCCTGGATCCCACCTGGATCCCACCAGCCCTGCCTGGATCCCACCTTGCTCCCAGCACTCGCAGTTTTCCACCCCAGGGGATTTCCTGGCAGAACTGGCTCAGCTGCAGTGTGGAATGCTCACTGCCAACATCCACTTCAAACACGGGGTTTAATTTTAACCCCAAGATTTCCTGCAGAGCTGCACCTACAGCCACAGGTATAGCAGGAGATCTCCCTGCTCCAAGAGGTCTGTTTTAATTTATCAAGTCAGCATGGTCACCAACATCCTCCTGGAGCTTTAATTCCCAAGTCCTTGATAATATTATTACATTTTCTGTTACATTATTACTTTATTTGTCTTTTTAGTGCTCCAAGGAGCTAAAGTAACCCAGGGAAGATGAAGTCAGGACCCTTCTCCTCAATCCAAACACCTCAGAGCTTTTTCCCTTCATCACTTGATGTGTTTCTTCCAAATTTAAACTTATTATCAATCCACACCCACAGTCTATCAACATCCATATCAATGTAATGAACAGGACTATTTATCAGTGGAGGACGTTTATCACTTAAGGATATTTAATCCCCAAAGGCCAGTTGGCCCTGCAAAGGTGGGTTTGCTCATAACCTCCCCATTTAAATCCACTCAAGAAGTGTTTTAGGTTTGATTTGGGGATGAACAGCTTTGGATTGCATTTTGGTTGGGGATAAATCACTTGGTAGGGCAGGGGAGGGAACATTCTGCTGAACTTCAGGGGAAATCGCTGGGTTTTGGTTCTTAATGAGCCACAAAAGAGCAGAGCTGTGGGGTGTTTGGCTGGAGGAAACAAACATAGCCTGGATTAGTCCTGAGCAATGCACACCTGAGGTTTGAAGGAGCCCCAGATGTCACAGCTTGGAAGCTTTTTAAAAGTACCTTTATGGCCTCGATGGCATATTCCACCTGGAAGAGCCTCCCCTCCGGAGAGAACGTGTTCACACCCCTGCAAGGACAACACAGGCAGAGTGAGAAGGGCAGGAAACAAACGGGATGAGAGTCTTGTCTCAAGGGTGAAGCCACCTGGGCACAGGTGGGGCAGCAGGGACGTGTCCCCCTCAGCACAGGCCACCCACAGGGTCTGGGTTCAGGATGTTCATGGACAGGAACACCAGGAAAGAGGAAAGCCAGCAGGACAAGGGACAGGGGAGAAGCGGGTGGGATGTCCCAGCACACCGTGGGTGCTGGAAGCCTTCAGAAGCCACAGGGTGCACCAGAAGCCAGAAAGGTCTTGTTTAGCCATGGAATCATGGAGTCCTGGAGGCTGGAAAAGTCCTTTGAGATCATGGAGTCCAACCTTTCCCCTAGCACTGCCAAGGCCACTGCTAAGCCCCCTCCCCAAGTGCCACATCCACGTGTTTTCTGAGCCCTTCCAGCGATGAGGACTCCACCAATGCCTTAGGAAGCCCGTGTGCCTTAGCTTTCCATGGAAAAAAATCCTAATATCCAAAACTAAACATCCATGGGCAAACTTGAGGCCGTTCCCTCTCCTCCTGTCCCTGTTCCCTGGCAGCACAGCCCGACCCCCCCGGCTGTCCCCTCCTGGCAGGGACTTGTGCAGAGCCACAAGGGCCCCCTGAGCCTCCTTTGCTCCAGGCTGAGCCCCTTTCCAGCTCCCTCAGCTGCTCCTGGGGCTCCAGACCCTTCCCCAGCTCCGTTCCCTTCCCTGGACACGCTCCTTTCCCTGGATATCCCATCCCATCCCATCCCAAACACCAACCAAGGGCTCACGAGCTTCCCCCGCCCTCGGCCCGTCCCATCCTGGCAGCCCCCGGCCCCGTGGCAGGGCCCAGCAGCGCCGCGGTCGCCCGGCAGCTCCCGGTGCGATCCCAGAGCGGGAGGCGCCGGTCGGGGCGCCCTGCACCGCCCGGGCCATGCCGGGCGCAGGCCCGTGACTCAGCCGCCGGCGCGGGCGGGCACTCACCGGTCGTACTCGGAGCGCGTGAGAAACATGGTGGCGGTGGGGCCGGGTGGTTCCGGGGGATCCCGGGGACTCCGGAGGTACCGGGGGGGCTCGGGGGTTCCAGGGGCAGCGGGAGCGCCGCGGTCTCACCGGGGGCTGCAACACCGCTTCCGGCCCCGAGCAGCACTTCCGCCCGCGCCGCCCTCCCATTGGGCAGCGGCCCTGCGGCTCGACCAATGGCAGGGCGGGAGGGGCGGGACCAGCGCGCAGGGGAGGGGCCGGGCGGGGACCGGAGGGAACCGGAGATGGGCGTGGTCACGTTTGGGGGCGTGTCCAACGCGCGAGGGGCGTGGCTTGCGCGTCGGGGGCGTGGTCATAGCGCTGGGGGTGGCTGTGGAGGCGTGGTCTGAGCGGAGTGGGCGGGGCATGCGGCGGGGGCGCGGCCGGTGCGAGGCGGAGCGCTGGGGGCGTGGCCACGGGGGCGTGGCTGAGCTGCCGGGGCGGGAGCGGAACCGCAGGGGGCGGGGCCTGCGGGCGGGCACCGAGCGGCACCGGGAGGGGTTCCCGGGAATGGGGACTCGGGATGGGGGGAGCGGGAAGGGGGATCGGGGAAGCGGTACCAGGGGTGGGATACCGAGAAGGGGGCACCGGGAAGAAGCTACGGGAAGCGGTGCCGGGAAGGGAATACCGGGAGGAGATACCGGGAGGGGGTGTCTGCCCCTGGGCCCCCCGGGGCGGTACCGGCACCCCAACGCCCAGCACACGGTGCGACGCCGTCAGCCTCCTTGCCGGCCCCGCTAGCGGCCCCCCGCGGGCTTCCCGCCTCGTTCCAGCGCTCCCGACTACCGGGGGATCGGAGGAGCCCGTGCACGGACGGAGCCCCCCGGGGGGCGCTGCTCGTCCCGTGCTGGCCGGAGGGGCTGGGGGCGGACCGGGGCGGGGGGATGGCCCGGGGGGCCCGGGGCCGGCCCAGGGGCGCTGCCGGGGGCGGGGCGGTGCTGCCCGCCCCGGGGGCGGTGGGGTGCCTGGTGGCGGCTCCGCCAGCGGAGCCGTCCCAGCGGGCGGCGGAAGCAGCACCGACCGCCCCCGGCCCGGCCATGTCGGAGCCCGGCGCCCCCGCGGCCGGTGATAAAGCGCCCCGGCTCCAGGTAGGGCTCCGGTGCGTCCCCCCTCCCGGTGACCGCGGCACGCTCCCGGTGCAGCCCCTTGCTGTCCCGCCACTGTTGCCCGGGGCAACTCCCGGTGTCCCCCCGGTGTCCCGGAGCCGATCCCCGGAGGAGTCCACGGTGTTCCAGTGCCGACCTCCGGAGAAGCCCACAGTGTCCCGTGGCAGCTGCCGGTGCGAACTCCGGTGCAGCGTCCCCGTGTCGCGGTGCAGCCCTCCACTGTTCTGGTGCCGTGGCCGATGCCCGGTCTCCAGGGCGACCCTCGGCCCAGGGCAATCCCGGTGCGGCCCCTCCGGTTCTCCGGGGCAGCTCCCGGTACAGTCCCCCCGGTTTCCCGGGGTAGATTCCTCTCCACCGAGGTGACCCCCAGCTCGGAGCAGGCCCCTTCGCAGCCCCCTGATCCCCCGCCCTTGCCCGGGACAATCCCGTTGTGGCAGCCCGGGGTAGCCCCCGGTGCAGCCCCCCGCTCCCCCGGTGCAGCCCCCCTGGCTCCCCGGAGCGGACTCCGGTGCCGTCCCGGTGCCGTCCCGATGCTCCCTGGCTCCCACCACTGTCTCCTGCAGGACCGTGTCCTTCGTGGGCTGCGCTGGGGCCGCCTCCAGGAGCCCCTGGGCTTCATCAAGGTGCTGGAATGGGTGAGTGACCCCCGGTGTGTCCCCCCATCCCGGGCTTGATCCCGGACCCCCGGTCACAGCCCTTCCCCAGAACTGCTGGGGGCTGCTCCCCAAGGACCTGGGTGCCCCTAGATTTGGGGTGTTCCATTGCTTTCTCGAAGGCCCCCCCAGAATGAAGGAATGCCAGAGCCCCCCGCCCCTCCGGAGCTTCCTGCACCCCATCAGCAGCGGGAGTGGAGACTTCATTTTGGGGGCTCCGGGGGAGGAGGGGAGCAGGGCCACACGGACGGTTCAGGCCACGAGCCCCTCCCTGGGACTCCCCGGTGACCTTGAGCAGGTGGCTGTGCCCAGCCATGCCAAAGGGGACAGTGACATCGGGGTGCCAGGTCCCCACCATTCCCACGGGCTCAGGGGGCACTGGGTGGGTGGGTGGGTGGGTGGCGAGAGGGACTGAGGGTCAGTGAGCCCCAGGAAGGGGGACCCTGGGGACAGGGGGGTAGCCAAGTGCCTGCGGCTCTGTCCTGAACTGGCCATGCCATGAATGGCTCCCTGTGAGATTGGATTTCAGGGTGGCATTTCTGCAGCTCAGCCTTGCCAGGACCAGGGGGCTCCCGGGGGAAACTGAGGTGCAGGAGGGACTCATCCCTCTTTGGGCATCTCCCACAGGGCAGAGCCAGATTGAGGGGCTTTCCCCCAATCCTACAGCTCTTTGGTTTCCATAATCCCACCCACAGAGGCTCTGGGCTCCCCGTGCCATTGAGGCCATCACATGGGATCAGACCCTACATGCAAAGACAGCCCGAAAACAAAAACGAGGAGAAAATCCCCGGAGGATCCACCAACACTCCTGCTTAAACCCTTAGTGCCACACGTGGGGCCGCCCATCCCCGCAGCATCAGGCCCGGCGGCTTAAATTCTCCATTTCACCCGGGAAGCTGGGAGCTCAGCCAGGAGGATTTGTGGGAAAACACTTGGAGAATGGTCTTTTCCCGGCACCCTCATCCAAGAGATGAGGGCAGTGTGACTCCAACGCAAAGGAGGGCAGTGCTGGCTCCTGGGGAGGGAATGACTCTGGGGGTCCCACCATGGGGATGCTCCCAGCAGTCTGGAAACCCACTCTGGCACTCACCCTGCCCAAAATTAAGGGGGAGTTGGGGTGGGTTTGGCCTTGTTGTGCCCAGCCCTCCAAACACGACCCCCATCCTCAAATCCCAGTGCCAGTAGAATCCCAGTGTTGGAGGGAGGTGCCCGAGGCCAGCATCTGGGGGGGTGGCAGCTTGCCCATTACTCAGTGCCAGGGGATACAGCCCACCCCCCAAGGGTGAAAGGGGTTCCCCCCAGGGCCTCAACCCCCCCGGACCCATTTGCCCTCTCCTGTAGCTCTTTGCCATCTTCGCCTTCGGCTCCTGCGGCTCCTTCAGCGGTGAGACCGGAGCCACAGTGAAATGTGACAGCGGAGGGATGACAGCCATCAGCATCCAGTTCGGGTACCCCTTCAGGTGAGGGGTTGCTGAACCCTGACACCCCCCAGGACTGTCCCAGACAAGCTGGGGGTGCTGGGTTGGGGTTAGACTCCCTTCCTGCTGGCAGGACCTCCATGGGACCGCAGCCATGGTCTCTGGGGTGTTGTGTTCAGCTGGGGAACATCCACACCCTGGCACTGTGACACATCCCCTGCCTTCAGTTCCTGACACCATCCTGGGGATTCTTGTCAATCACGGAAGAGCGGGGTGGGGAAGGGGGGGAATCCTCAGTACTCAGGGAAGCCCAGGGGAATCCTGATTTATCTGGGAAGGCAATGATGGGAGTTGGGCCAGATGAGTGTCCCAGTTCTAACCCCTTTCCTCTGCCACTGGCCCCCTGCCAGGGCATTAGACCCTGGAAAAGAATCCAGGTTATGGCAGTGGATCTGTGCCCTCCATTCCAGGGGACCACCCCAGCCTGGTTATTCTAGCCATCCCCATCAAACCTTCCATTCCCAGGGGACCACCCCAGCACTTATATTTCATCCATCCCTCCCATTCTGGGGGACCACCCCAGCCTGGTTATTGTAGCCATTCCTGTCATCATCTCCCTTCCCAGGGGACCAACCCAGTGTGGTTATACCACCTACCCCCACCATCTCCTCCATCCCCTGACACCCCCCTCCCTCTATGCCAGGTTATACCAGATTCCCTTTGGGATGCCGAATTGTGAGGATGAATCAGAAGCCCGCACCCTGTACCTCGTTGGTGATTTCTCCGCTCCCGCTGAGTTTTTTGTGACCCTGGGGGTCTTCTCCTTCCTCTACTCCATGGCGGCTCTGGTGCTCTACCTCCGCTTCCATTCCCTGTACACCGAAAACACGAAGCTGCCCTTCACAGTAAGGCAGGCTCATCCCCCGGGACACGTGAATCCAGCGCCATGCCAGGATGGCAGCTGATCCCAGTCTCTCATCCTGGCAGGATTTCTGCGTCACCGTCTGCTTTGCCTTCTTCTGGCTGGTGGCAGCGGCGGCGTGGGGCAAGGGGCTGAGCGACGTGAAGGCGGCCACACGCCCCTCCACCCTCATCGCTGCCATGGGGGTCTGCCAGGGCGATGGGGTGGTCTGCAACGCCGGCACCACGCCAGCCATGGGGCTGGCCAACATCTCAGTGGTGAGGGCCACGGGGGCACTCACTTGGGCACACACTTGGGCACACACTTGGGCACACACTTGGGCACACACGGCCAAATCTCTGTCATTTTTATATCGAGAGCACAGTGTAGGGGGTTCAAGCGGAGCTGAGCAGTGTGTGCAACCCACAGGCTGCAAACCTGTGCCTGTGGAGGCACAGCAGTGCACACACACGGGACAGCACACGCAGACGTGTGAGCACACACGGGCACACACACAGGTGAACACAGCGCTCGCACACTCGCGTCCTTGTGTGTGCACAGGTGTGCCGGGTTCCTCAGCTCAGCCAGGAGAGGGCAGTGGGAAGGTGGACATGCAGATGAAAATATGGGCACACTCATGGAAATGTGGGTGAAAACATCCCACAGCCACCTGCCTTGGTCCCACGGGATGTGGGATCCGCCCTGCAGCCGCCATTCAGGGCTGGGAATCATTCCCAGGATGGGGTGGTTGTTGGTGTTTGGGGTGTGTGGGGTGCATGATGTGCATGGAGGCAAAGGGCATGTGGGGTGCATGAGGTATATGGGGTGAAGTGGGGTGAAGTGAGGTGCGTGAGGTGAATCTGGCATGTGGGTGCATGAGGCATATGGGGCATGTAGGGTCCATGGGGTGCACAGGTTGCATGGCATGTGTGGGGCACATAGGGTACATAACGTGCCTGGGGTGCATGGGGTGCATGGGAGGTATGGGGTGCATGGGGCACAGGATGTGGGTTACACATGGATAACATGGGGCACATGGTGTGCCTGGAGCACAGTGGGGTGCATGGGATGTACGGGAATTATGGCATGTGTGTGGTGTATGGGGTGAATGGGACACACAATGCATGGAGTGTATGGAATGTATGGAAAATATGGGGTGTATGGGGTGTATAGGGCACACACAATGTACAGGGTACTTGGGGTGTAGGGAATGTGTGGGGTGTATGGGGTGTATAGGGCACACACAATGTACAGGGTACTTGGGGTGTAGGGAATGTGTGGGGTGTATGGGGTGTATAGGGCACACATGGTACCAGGGTACTTGGGGTACATGGGGTGCTCGGAGCTCACGGGGTGCACACGGTGTGATGGGTGCTGATGCTACGCTCCCCCAAGAGTGCCCTGTGGGACCTTCTCCCTTCTTCTCTGTCCTCTCCCCTCTTCCCCTTTCCTCTCCTGCAGCTCTTCGGGTTCCTCAACTTCCTGCTGTGGGCCGGGAACTGCTGGTTCGTGCTGCGGGAGACGCCGTGGCTGCAGCCGCCCGCGCCCCGCGACAGCGCGGCCGAGCAAGGCGCCATCGACAAGCAGTAACCCCCGGGGGCCGAGCCAGCCCGGGGACCCCCCCCCGGCCCCCGGGACCTCGCGCCGGCCGCCAGCCCGGGGACGGGGTGTCGCTGTCCCCGGGGTTGGAGCCGCCGGGGGTCCGGATGCTGAAAGGGGACACGGAACGCCGGGGGTCCCGCTTGATGTCGGGGGCTCTGCGTGTCACCCCGAGGGGTCCATGTCTGTATGGGGCGCATAAAGTCCTGGGTACCAGCTCTGGATTGGGGCTCCTGGTGTCTGCCTCGGTGTGGAGGGGCGCACACCCCTGGGTGGGGCACGCAGGGCCCCGGGCATCCTGGTCCATACAGGGATAAACCGGTCCCCATCTCTGCTATAGGGTTAACCGTGGAGCTCAGATCAGTATCGGGCTAATGGAGAGTCCCAGACAGGTAATGGGAGACCCCAGGCCAGTAAAAGGATAATCAGGAACCCCAGTCCGGTATTGGGATAATACGGGAGCACCACTCCAGTATGGGAATCAGCTGGGACCCCAGCCTGGTATGGGAATAATGGCAGGGTGTCCCAGCTCCATATAGGGATAACAGGGAACCCCAGACCAGTAGAAGGATAATGGGGGACTCTAGGCTGGTATAGGCATAGCAGGGGTCCCCAGCCCCGTGCAGGAAGAACCTGGAACCTCAGACGTGTATGGCAATACCCTGGGCTCACAGCCCAGTACAGAAATAACTACACCAGACCCCAGCCCGTTATGGGAATAACTGGGGTCCTGAGTCCAGTATGGGGATAACAGGGAACTCAACTGAGTATAGGGATTCCAAGTGCCCCTAACCTGTTATAGGGATACCGAGTACCTCCATCCCCATATAGGGATAGCAGGAGACTCCAGTCTGGTTTAGGGATCACTTGGGACCCCCAGGCCAATGCGAGGTAACAGGTGACCCCAACTTAGTATCGGGATATCCAGTGCCCTATCCGGTACAGGGATACCTGGTGCCCCATCCCGTACAGGCACACGGGGTGCCCGGTGCCTGTGCTGCGGGCGCCTCGGGCTGGGGCCGGGCAGGGGTCTCTCCGGGCTCGGGCCGGGTGAGGGTCTCTCCGGGCAGGGGTCTCTCCGGTCAAGGTGAGGGTCTCTCCGGGCAGGGTGAGGGTCTCTCCGGGCGGGGGTCTCTCCGGGCGGGGGTCTCTCCGGGCAGGGTGAGGGTCTCTCCGGGCAGGGGTCTCTCCGGTCAGGGTAAGGGTCTCTCCGGGCAGGGTGAGGGTTTCTCCGGGCAGGGGTCTCTCCGGGCAGGGTGAGGGTCTCTCCGGGCGGGGGTCTCTCCGGGCAGGGGTCTCTCCGGGCAGGGTGAGGGTCTCTCCGGGCAGGGTGAGGGTCTCTCCGGGCAGGGTAAGGGTCTCTCCGGGCGGGGGTCTCTCCGGGACTACCGTGCCCGTGGTGCCGCGGGGCGGGCGGGGCGCGCGGCGCATGCGCGGGGCGGGGGCGGCGCGGGGGGGCGGCGGTGCCGCGGCGGCGGCGGCGGCGATGGCGGCGGAGCGGCGGCCGGTGCCCGGCCTGGACGAGTTCGCGGGGCAGAGCTGGAGCGCCTGGGTGGAGCGGGCCGGGCCGCCCGCCGACACCGGTGAGGGCGGAGGCGGCGGGGGGGCTTCGCGAGCGGGGCCGCGCCCGCCGACCCCCGGTCCGAGCGCCGCCGCGCGGCGGGCGGGCAGCGGCACCGGGAGAGGGGAGTCCGGCACCGGGAACCGGGAGCGCGGCATCCTGCACCGGGCACTGGGAACGGGGCATCCTGCGCTGGGAACCGGGAACGGAGCATCCTCCACCGAGAGCAGGTTCTGCAGCGGGCAGCAGGAAAGGCTCGTTCTGCTCGGGGAACCGGGCACCGGGAGCGGGGCACTGGGAAACTGGGCACCGGGAGCCCCGCGCCGGGCATCCAGAGCCGGTATCCAGTACCGGGAGCTGGGCGCACAGCTGAGGGTGCCGGCTCTGGATGCCCGGTGCGGGGTTGCCGGTGCCCGGTTTCTGGTGCCGGGTGCCCGCAGCAGGTTGTCCTGGCATGTCCTGGGATGTTCCCTGGCACTGGGAACTGGACACCTGGAATGAGGCAAACTGTACCAGCACCTGGCACTGGGAACAGCCAGACCTGGCACCCTGACTGGGATCCTGGTACTGGGAATGGGGCACCCTGCACTGGGATCCTGGTACTGGGAATGGGGCACCCTGTATTGGGAGCCTGGTACTGGGAATGGGGCACCCTGCACTGGGAACCAGACACTGGGAATGGGGCACCCTGTATTGGGATCCTGGTACTGGGAATGGGGCACCCTGCACTGGGAACCAGACACTGGGAATGGGGCACCCTGCACTGGGATCCTGGTACTGGGAATGGGGCACCCTGTATTGGGAGCCTGGTACTGGGAATGGGGCACCCTGCACTGGGAACCAGACACTGGGAATGGGGCACCCTGTATTGGGAGCCTGGTACTGGGAATGGGGCACCCTGTATTGGGAGCCTGGTACTGGGAATGGGGCACCCTGCACTGGGAACCAGACACTGGGAATGGGGCACCCTGTATTGGGAGCCTGGTACTGGGAATGGGGCATCCTGCACTGGTAACCTGGTACTGGGAACTGGGAATGCTGCACTGGGAACCAGACATTGGGAAAGGGGCACCTTGTACTGGGCACCTGGAATGTGGCACCGGACACCCAGTACTGGGAACTGGGCACCCAGCACTGGTGAATATGCACTGGGAATGTGACATCCTGCACCGGAACATGCAGAAACAGGAATGGGGCAGGCAGCCCTGGGCACTGGACAATGGGAACAGGACATCCTGCCATGGGTACCTGGCACCAGGAACTGGGCACTGGGAACCTTACACTGGGCATCCAGACCTGGCACCCAGCACTGAGCACTGGAGACTGGGAATGGGCACTTCCCGTTCTGGGAATGTGGCATCCAGCACTGGGCATCTGGCACCAGGAATTGGGACTGGGAGCCTGGCACTGCACAGCCAGACATGG